GGGTGATGGTGGTGCCCAGGAAACGGAAGGACTCCACAGAGGTGATGGGGGAGTCCATCACGGAGGGTGGGGGCGGGGGACAGTGCTCTTCCTGAAGTCCACAATCATCTCCACTGTCTTCTGGGCGTTCAGCTCCAGGTTGTTACCACTGCACCAGGACACCAGCCGGTCCACCTCCCTCCTGTAGGCGGACTCATCGTTGTTGGAGATGAGTCCAATGAGGGTGGTGTCGTCCGCGAACTTGATCAGCTTCACGGAGTCGTGGCTGGAGGTGCAGTGGTTGGTGTACAGGGAGAAGAGCAGGGGAGAAAGAACACAGCCCTGTGGGGCTCCTGTATTTATAATCGAGAGTCCGAGACATTCTTCCCCAGACGCACTCGCTGCTTCCTGTCCGTCAGGAAGTCAGTGATCCACCTGCAGGTGGAATCGGGCACGTTGAGCTGGGAGAGCTTGTCCTGGAGCAGGGATGGCAGGATTGTGTTGAAGGCAGAGCTGAAGTCCACGAACAGGACCCTGGCGTAGGCCCCGGGGAGTCCAGGTGCTGTAGGATGTGGTGGAGGGCCAGGTTAATGGCGTCGTCTACAGATCTGTTGGCTCTGTAGGCGAACTGCAGGGGTCCAGAGAGGGGGAGGTGAGGGACTTGAGATGGGAGAGAACCAGGCGTTCAAATGACTTCATGACGACAGACGTAAGTGCTACAGGTCTGTAGTCATTGAGTCCTGTGATCCTGGGCTTCTTCGGGACGGGGACAATGATGGAGGATTTGAAGCAGGCCGGGACATGGCAGGACTGCAGAGAGGTGTTGAAAATGTCCGTGAACACAGGAGTAAGCTCACTGGCGCAGTGTCTCAGAGTGGCCGGAGACACGTGGTCCGGGCCAGGAGCTTTTGCGGGGGTGCAGCCTCAGGAAGAGTTGTTTAATCTCTTTAGCGGCTATTGTTAGGCTGGGGGCAGGGCTGATGGGTGGGTCGTTAGAGTAGTGGGGGTGGGGAGGAGAGGTGTCAGGGCAGCATCAAAGCGACTGAAAAATAAGTTCAGATCGTCAGCTAGCTTGTGGTCATCAGCACAGGGGGGGCTTTGGGTTTGTAGTTGGTGATCTCCCGTAGGCCCCTCCAGACAGAAGCAGTATCGTTGTTACCAAACTGCTCCTGTAGTCGTTCTCTGTGCCGGGACTTGGCTGCTTTCAGTTCTTTCCTGAACTGATATTTAGCTGCTTTGTAGCCGCTGCGGTCCCCCTCCCTGAAAGCAGACTCCTTTGCTTTCCTGAGCTGCCGGAGTTTAGCAGTGAACCAGGGTTTGTCGTTGTTATAGATGACCCTGGTCCTTGTTGGAATGATGCTATCCTCACAGAAGTGGATGTATGACGTCACAGTGTCCGTATATTCATCCAAGCTGTCTGTGGCAGCTCTGAAAAGGTCCCAGTCTGTAGATTCCATGCATGCGCGCAGCTCTTCCACAGCTTCATCAGACCACACTTTGGAGCTCCTCACTGCAGGTTTCGAGAGCTTTAGTCTCTGTCTGTAAGCAGGAACCAGATGTATCATGGAGTGATCTGAGAAGCCGAGGGCTGGCTTGGAACAGCGCGAAAAGCTCCGCGCACGGTGTGTAACAGTGATCCAGAGTGTTCTCCTCTCTGGTCGGGCATTTGATAAACTGTCTGTATTTGGGTAATTTCCTGGCTCAAGTTTCCCTTATTAAAATCCCCCAGGATAATACATCAAGAGTCCGGGTATAAACTTCCATACACAGTACTGCTCTGGCGAGTGCGCGCTGAGCGCGGGCAACGATCCCCGCTCATGGCGGTATGTAAACCATAGGCAAGAATGAATGAAAACAATTTCACGCGGGAGTAAAATGGTTTACAATGAATGAAAAGATATTCCAAGCAGAGAGGCAGTGCTTGAGATCCACTGTCACATCGTTTACCCAGTTTGTATTGACGTAGAAACCAGCCCACCGCATCTGCTCTTCCCTAAGAGCCACAATGGCGATCCGCGCGACACCCAAAACCCTGCATTCCCAGAGCGCAGTCCGGGATCTGCTCATTTAGCCAGGTCTTAAAGAAATGATGCATTTAAAATGGCTTTGAAACAATAATGAATAATACTCTAGTAAACTACTAAAATTAAACACAATCTCTACTTTAGCAACAATAAAGAAGAAATAAATAAGTATAAAATCTTTAGTAAGTATAAATTAAAACTTTAGCATAATAAAGTGTGGTTCTGACAGATAAAAGAGATTTGCTATAACTGCACCTTTTCTTTTTTCTGTGATTTAAATTGTTCTGTTGAGGGGCAACCATGGTCACACCATAATGAATGTAATGTAATTCAGTATGAAGAGGAGGCTTTGTTTTGTGTGCATGGCATCAAAAGCAGGAGACCGGAAAATGATTACGGAGAATGGTTTGCTACAGTGATCTGAAAGCGGTGACCTTTAACTTCATCAGTGTTTTACTTCAATTGAGACCATTTTCTGCTGTTTTTACACTTTGACACAAGTGACATGAGATAGATGAACTGATGTACTTACTGGACGCATTTATGGTTATTGAAAGTTAGTCTACCATTGATTATATTCTGTATGCTTAGTGTACAGGTGAAAACATTTTGAAAACTAAACTATACCTCACCACCAAAGGGCCAGTGCTAGTTACCATAGCAACGTAAGGTTTACCATTGTTAGTAGTTAGCAGTTGGTAGCTTGATACTTTATATATGTAATTAACCATAATCAACTAGTTGTGAACATGCGACTTGTAATACAGAATACATATATAGACTGGCTGTCATCGTTTACCACGTTATAAACAGCACACTCGTTCTCTCTCCCTCCTCTCTTCTCTCTCTCTCTCATTCTCAGTCTCATCTCTACTCTTTTCTCTCACGCTATCTTCTCTCTCTTTCTGTCTCTCTTTCTCTCCTCGCTATCCGCTCTCTCATCTGTCCCTCTCTCTTTCTTCTCTCTCTCTTTCAATCTCTCATTCACTCTCCTCCTCTAACTCTCTTTCTCTCTCTCACCTCTCACGCTCTCAATCACCTCTCATGTATCTTCCCACAGTTTCTGATGGGGACAGTGGGACCATTATGACAGACATCGTCCACATTGGCATATACTACCCGACCCGAACCTGGTGATCCCGTGGACCGTTCTGCGCTTTCAGTGCTGGGATGGCCATCCTCAACTGCTGCCAAACCCACCTCCTGCTTCTTTGTTCTAGCTGATGTAAAAGAACGAGGAGGGGTCTACAACGCAACTTTGTAAGGTTTTGTAAGTTCCGACATATTTTTTAACGGGGGGGACTTGGCCAAAATGTAGACGAATTTGGTTTCGATATTTGAGCCGCAATCCAAAATACAGATTAAAGTATCCTATATTTATCTCACACACACAGCACAAGAATAAATGATCAATAACTCTCTATGGAATAATCTCAATCTTTTACTTTAGCGTCAAAAAGAACAAGTATACAAATCTCTACCTTTGGCATAAAGAAAGAAGAAAAAAACTAGTACAAATTATGAATTTAGCATACTCAAGAAGTATATAATCGCAGCCTTTACCATATTAATAATCAAGTATAGAATAATGTATCTTATTGTGATTTTAACTAGTAGTGAGTGTTGTGATTTTATTCTGTTATATTTTGCAATTCTGTCCCCCTTATATTATTCACAAAAATAAGATAAGGGAACAATAAATCTATACTAAATCATATAAAATCTCTAACTTAAGCAGAGTAAGAAGCAAGAATGAAGTATAAAATCTCTGACTTTAGAATGATAAGAAGAGCAAATCTAAAACACTGAAGATCAAATCTTTCAAAATGCCTCTTAAACCCACTTTGGGCAACTGCAAAGCTGGATCTCATAAGTCAAATTCCTATTCCACATCTAAAACTAGGGGAAGAAAATACTGCAAAGAAATTGGCGGCTATTTTTTTTTAACTCTGCCCATGTTGTATTACAAGAAATCTCTAAACGCCAGCTTTTGGATTAAAGCCAAGTAAAACTTGATTAAATCCAATTCTGTGAAATGTAAAACTGAAAGGAGTGTTCGCCAATCACTGAACCACAAGCAGACCATTCCTCACGCAAATTCTCATTTGCTCCGGTCACAAGAACTTTGAAATGAAGCACTCTTTTTAGGCAGAAGTTTGGTGTTGGTTTAGCTTTTTATGGACCTGCACCCCAGACACAGTTTACAACAAACATATTATTCATCAAAAGACTCATGTTGCCATGGAGACAAAAGATTACGATTAATAGATCCTTTCTTCGACCCACAGTGGGGACATTTCCAAAGAGAGGAATCGAGGAGCACACACACAAGATAAATAAAATAAAACCACTATCTATAGCATAATAAAGACGCTAGTATAACATCTTCTAGCTTTGCATAAGACAGAGCAAGTAGAAATCTCATAGCTTTAGCATACTAAAAAACAAGTATACATTATTACTTTAGAGTAATAAGGAGGCAATCTATAAAATCTCTAACTTTAGCAATAATGAAAAACTAATAAGTAGGTACAACCTCTCCTGACATTAGCTTTAATAAAACCGTGTAAAATTCTATCTTTGCCAGTGCAATGATAAATTCTAGTGCAAGAAATATATATACATTGTACATGTTTAGTACCATGAGGCTCTGGGAACAAAGTGGACTCCGTAAAGTGACAGTGGACACTGTGGTTCTATATTGCCAAGTCCTGACAATATTAACATACTCTTGCACATATAAAGTAAAGTATTGTTCTCCTTTTGAGAAAGCACTCAAATGAAGCCTTGAGCTGCTCCACTGAACAAGACTCGACTGCCGGCTTAATCCGCTCCAAAACTTATTCCGATACTTCCTTGGATTATGAAGTCTATTTCAGGAAGACCCAAAAATATTCTCTTTCTACATAATGCGATTGATGGTAGTGCGGCAATAAGACTGCAATAGACCCAAAAAGGAGACTCCTGATGGGCTCTGGAGAAACCTTGAATATTGCTCTACCCGTTTATATTGACACGGGCAGTGGCTGAAAGCATAGGCTGAAGCAGCAGGCTGTAAGCAGAGGCTGAAGCAGAGGCTGAAGCAGCGGCGGAAGCATAGCTGAACAGAGGCCGGAAGCAGTGGCTGAAGCAGTGGCTGAAGCAGTGGCTGAAGCAGTGGCTGAAGCAGAGGCTGAAGGCAGAGGCTGAAAGCAGAGGCTTAAGCAGAGGCTGAAGCAGAGCTGAAGCAGAGGCTGAACAAGGCTGAAGCAGAGGCTGAAGCAAGAGGCTGAAGCAGAGGCTGAAGCAGTGGCTGAAGCATGCGGAACAGATGCTGAAGCAGAGGTGAAGCAGTGGCTGAAGCAAGGCTGAAGCAGAGCTGATCAGAGGCAGAAGCAGAGGCTGAAGCAGAGCCTGAAGCAGAGGCTGAAGCAGTGGCATGATGCAGTGGCGGAAGTCAGAGGCTGATGCAGAGGCTGAAGCAGAGCCGGCGAGGAGGGAATTTTAATTGCTGTTAGAATTGTAACACGATCGTATCTGGAGTCACATGTTAGTCTCCTCTGTAAAGCCGAACATCCACCGGACATCTCAAGCGTTTAAAGATTAATTGGGCAGTTTTCAGAGCACTCTTGGTAAAATTTACTCGTATATGTGGGGTATAATGATGTGGTATACAATTGACTTACGTATATACTCAATCCCTTTTACTATGTTTTGGTTATCATTTTGACCTACAACTTGTAGATCAAACAAGGGGGTTAGGGTTAGGATTTAAAAGGTAGGGTCCAAGGATAAAGCCTGTGTTTCGTCAGAGCCTAGCTGAACGCATGGCACGATATGTGATTTTTTTTCCCCACATTATTTATTGAACATTAACATAAACATTTAAAATTCATCACATACAGATATACAAATCTGTGAAAGGAGAATATAAAAGAAAACATAGCTGAATGTCACCCCCAATACCTAATAAAACGGCAATCAAAATAAGAAGATAAATGAAACTAATTAAATCGTCAGAAAACTTAATATTCTGAAAATTAACGACATACCATGACTTTGATGTAATGAGTCTTTATCACATATTTATATATTCTATACTTTATTGTCCTGTCATTGGTTCCACAGTTTAAGTCGAAGAGCAGAAATAATTAACTTTTTCGAGTATCATTTTTTTCAACAATTTTTGATTCCCACATTGCGAGCCAGGATACATACACGTTTACATATACTGTATTAAACAAACATGAGAGGCACTTTGTAAAATTAAAATACATTTTAAAGCTTTCTTGATTTGTTTTGGTATTGTTTTCTATTAACAAACGAGTAACAAAACTGTACCAAATACACATGATACTATTGATAAAATCAGAAGATTCTACCCATTTAATAAAAGTTTGTTTCTTTCTACTGTTTCTTGAACCCTACACACTCTATTGTTTCCTGTACACACTTTTTGGTTTCCACGTTGACTCTCGTATGTTGCACGTCATTAAGACCTGTTTATTGTTTCCCTGGTCCTACGGCCTTACGTAGACGTTAACAGACATTGAGACTTCATAGACAGCCATGCACCCGGACAGTGCTGACAGTGCCTTAATTGCCTCGCTATTGATTGCCTCGGCTTTCTCCCCTCTCTCCTCCGTTTTGTCCCATTTCGCATCCTCCGAACAATCTTCCTCCAGCTCCTTGGCCTCTAATTGCTCCTGACTCAAGAGACTTCCTTTACCGGTTAACCACTATCTTGTAGTTTTAGTTTGATCTTTGTTGTCCTGTCCATATCTCACGATGACCCTTTGTGTCTATGTTGCTTGTGCTTGTACTGTTCGCCCTACGGTTTTGTTTGATGTACCGTGTAGTGGTGATGAAATATTCTGCATCATCTATTATTCATACTCCAACTCTTCCCGTGCCTAATTTGTGTTTTGGTGTGTGTTCTGTTTTATGTATGAGCTTCACTGTTGATGGCGCTCTTCATCCACGCCTAATTAAAGTCTGCACACTGTTGACTCCATGCATCCTGAGCGTTTACAAGACCTGGGACGTGCATCATCTGACGAGGCAACTTTTGAGCGACTTTTTATCTGGGCTTTCACGAATCATGCACTGTTCCATTCCACGCACCATCCATCACTGTAATCACTATTTAGGATAAGAATAAGAGGTCCTTTATTCTCCCACAGTGGGGAACTATATCAATGTTAAGCGCACAAACAGGACAGTAGCAAGAGCACACAAAAATATCCAATAAGTAGCTACTAATTTTCTATTAGCTAGCTATTTTTATATTCATCTATATATTATGCGAAGTTAAATAGATATAGACAGGATAATAAGTAATAAAGTGACATTCATGGACATTCTGCAGTATTTCACATTCATATTTTGAATTTAGTTTTAACGTACGCACTTTATCAACGATCACATTTTTGTTCCAAGATTTAAGCCTGGTAACTGTCTGCGAGCAAGCGTGGTTTACATTATTCAATTTTCTACAACATTTTAATTTTTGTAAACCGATATCACAACATAGTTATCTCAGAGGACACAGATCAAGAATTTCCAAACCGTTCAAGAGAAGAAGAGAATTATTTCAAAAACCTACATACACAAAATACACTAAAAAATATAGAAATAAAACAAAAAAAATTTCTGTGGAGAGAAACTTTTCATTTTTTTATTTGTGAAACAACAAGTAGACCATTTAACTACAAGACACCATCCTTACACAATTCACAATCGTTCACTCTTCAAAAGTATGTAAAATTAGTAATGCACTTCCTGTTGCCTCCATGTCCATCTTACAGCAACACAAATGATCACTCGCAACCACTTGCTCTGGGTATGTCCGGATCTCTGTTTGTAACATTTTAGTCATACTACCCCACATTTTTCTTCTTCTGAATGGATTTATCTCAATTTAAAAATGCCTGTACCAATCAAATTATCTTTCCATTGATGCTGTGGTGGTTGGCGTCACGTCTTAATAGCACTAACCATTTGCGAAGGTCTCTGCTCTCTGTCCCTGTTTTGACTCAGAGCTGTCCTGTACAAAAAAGCCTTCTGGCCCCAGAGAATATATATATTAAAATGTCATGAAGTGGAAGTAAAAAACCAGCCATGTCTGTCACAAGGCTCATGTAGAGGTTATAGAGGGATGAAGTCTTTGAACTTCTGAAAGTCTGTGATCAGTATCGAACAACGCTTACCGGTTGGTCCTGTACGAGGGTGGCTTCTAAAAAACAAGAACGTGAGAAAAGTCTTGAAAACTTTATTTTAGATTTAAAATAAATCATGATGTTTATTTACAGTTATGCTTGAAGAAGGCATACAAACAGAGCATAGGGCTCACACAGGTTTTTTTTTATGATATTAAAGCTGAATATTTTAACTTTAAAGTCAAAATAGATATGAGGATTAAAGTGGTGTTACTAAAACCGTTCCTGACTTTCGAGATATCTGTCAGTGTCTATTCCCTTTGACTTTGAGCTGAAATTATGTCTGACTTAATCTGATAGGGCCCTGGCAAAACAAAAATCGGTTATCTATGCTTCGTTATGTAAGTTTGTTTCCTTGCCGATGTAGTAGCTTAACTAGCTTCAACTCTTGGGTGTAGGCTAGTAATTTCAAATCAAATCGTTTTCTATCACTTAAAATGACACCAAAAATATCACAATTCCACCCACCACTAAAGCTCTGTAATTCCTGTATTTTTAATTCCTACCCAGAGTGGCTCAATATTCTAATAAAAAAATGGAAAGCCAGTTTTTGTTTTTAGGTTTTTTTTTTACAATATATTTCCCTTTCCTTTTTAAACTTACTCCCTGTAAACATTCACACAGACGAAAGGAAGAAAATTAAAAAGGAAAAAAAAGAAATACCGACATCACATTCCAAAACTAATTTCAGTTCATACCCCTGGGAGGGTCTCACTCAGAATATATTGTCCAAAAAGGTACCCTCCTATGACTTTGAGACCTCTGTAGACAGCTCATCCAAGAGTGGGTTCCAGCAGAACCCTATTTAAGCACGTTTATTTGACAATATTGGGTTCACATAATCACTAACACTGAGTTAAAAGAGGGTCAGTTATCATTCATAATCAACAACAATCACATCTCTGACTGGTGTCCAACTTCAAGCAACAGAAAATATACACGTATATGTTTGGGAACTCTTGTTTACGGACAGCCATTTTTAAAAAATATCTTGGAGAGGAAGAAGCCGACGCATGATGTCAACACAGACCTGTAACTTGTTTCTTTTGCAGGGTTCCCACAGTCCTCCAGAAACAACGATAAGATACCATCCATAGACTCAGCAGGACCAGGCATCGGCGAGACAGCCAACCCCTTCAACCAGGCTCAGGACAAACCCTCGCCGGGCTTACTAGACACAATTCACTTTTTCTTTAGCTGCCGTGAGATATTGTTAACTTTCAATTGTTACATTCTGTAGTCGATGGTACTAAAAGGTTTTGAATACTCAAGCACACGCAAAAAATGATTCAAAGACATAAGTAAAAAATTGCTCAATATCTCGCCATATTTATGCTTTCGATTCAAGCACATTTTGACGGCCAATGAGTCCAAGCCAAATTTATCTTGTTTTTAAAAGATACAAAAATGTCTCCCCTTTTTGAAGGAGAAAATAAAGCCAACAGATCTTGAAATGGACGAATGACCTTCTCCCATTGGCATATCATGTTGTTAAACCGTCATACTGGCCTCAAAAAAAGATGAAAAACACATGATCAAGCAATTATCACCTCATATTTTATCATTTTTTATTGGCAAAAACTAACTGAAGTGACTACACTGGCCAGTCATTTCAAATTGCTTATTCAATGTAATTTTTGTTATCATTTGTACTCACTGGCGATTAAGTCCATATTATTATTCCAGAGTTTCATAGAAAAATCACATTTCTACAATGTCCTGTATTTATATTCCTGTCATTTCTTCTACTGACCATCGTACTAATTTTGTGGGTAATTCCTATCAGACATCCTCTTTTACGTGTTGCAAACAGGTAAGTATACTAATATACCATGCTGTTAAGAATAGCTGTTTTATTGGGGTTATTTGTTCTGCATTCAAAACTAGTAGGATATTCACATGCCGACATAAGACCGGAGAGAATGATGACGACCGGTGAGACTTAACGGTTTAAGTTATTTGCTACAGCTATTGTTCCTTGGTTATTTTTGTCCTTGAAGTGAGTTACACATACTATGGTTATATACTGTGCCTATGGACTTGGTTCTGTAAGGAAGAAGAATAAAAGGCAGAAACTGTTTTTTCTACATTTACTACATTTACTACACATGCTAGAGTATAGAAGGCTATTCTTTCTTCTATAAAGCATTCCTTGACTGCTTTTGTGGAAGTGGGTCAACACCTACGTCATTGAGATGAGGCAGTAATAAAACATTACGGACA